GGAGAGAAAGAGAGAGAGAGAGAGAGAGAGAGAGAGAGAGAGAGAAGGTGCTAACTGGGAATGGCATTAGGCATTTAAAACCTCAAAGCCTACCTACCCCAGAGATCCACCACCTCTAACAAACCACGCCTTCTAATTCTCAAACAGTTCCACTAACCATGGACCAAGCATTCATGAATACGAGTCTTTCGGAGGCCATTCTCATTCAAACTGCCAGTCTTGTTACTTGAAAATGGAAGGATTATCTACTAGTTTACTGAGACAGGCTGTGCTGTGATCTACTAGTTTACTGAGACAGGCTGTGCTGTGGTGTAGACTTAAGTGCCTCACTGGGGTATAAATATGAGTTGCCAGGCCTGATAAGCAGGCTTGTAATTTGAGTTACTCAGGAGGCTGATGCAGGAGGATCACAAATTCTCTAACCCAGCCTGGTTAGTAGATCTAGTCTCAAAAAGTAAAAAAGATAGCCAAAAATAGAGTTCATTGGCAGAATACTCAACTAGCTACCAAGTACAAGTATATGGCCCTTCAGTCAATCCCACTGCTGCTGAAATAAAATATGAGTTGTCAGAAGGCAACAGGTGAGAATTACACAAAGGAGGGTGCAAAGGGATCAAAGAGCTGAGGTCAGTCCCTTGTCATTGATGTCTAGTGCTGTTGGTGCTCGAGATTTAGACACAGATATCTGTTGAGGGCCTGTATTGTGCTGTAGAGGAAACATGACATAGAAGGGAATGGGATGGTCAGCTTGGGGTTACAGCTTCTGTGGGGAGTTGATAAAATAGTCTTAGGTGTGGTTTTTCTGGAGGGGAGGGAAAAGAACCCAGGTAGGTGACAAGAGGAAGAACAGAAAGAGAACCAAGGGCATATAGTTCCCTGAATGCTTTTTGAGTAGAAGTCAAGATTGAGAAGGTGGCCGAACGGTGGTGGCGCACGCCTTTAATCCCAGCACTTGGGAGGCAGAGGCAGGCGGATTTCTGAGTTCGAGGCCAGCCTGGTCTACAGAGTGAGTTCCAGGACAGCCAGAACTACACAGAGAAAACCTGTCTCGAAAAACAAAACAAAACCAAAAAAAAAAAAAAAAAAAAGATTGAGAAGGTGACTGCGTGGAAGAAGTGCTGACTGGGTCAGTTGACCTTCATGAGCCCTGGTTTAATAGAATTAGGGGAAGAAGACCAATTGAAACTAGGGGTCCTGTCACATGGAAGAAAGGTTCTAAGACCTAGAATGTTTTAGTAGCTCCCTCTTCCTAGGTCCTAGTTGGTAGAAGGGGAGTTACAGTACTTAGGAATCACAGCCCTGGCAGAAGAGAACCAGGCTGCCTCTGAATTGAGGGTTCCTGCCCTGAGGGAGCTTTTCTCATCTGCAGAGAACTGGGAACACAAGCCAAAGAGGCCTGGCCGTCATTGCACATACTTCTGGAGCACCCTGAAAAGGAAGACTGATTGTGAGAGACAGATTGACCTTTGAGAGAGACCTTAACCTACAGAGAAACAGGCAGGCAGCTATTTCCTGCATGCCAGTTCTTTTGGTAACAATAAAATGATTGTCTTAGGGTTTTAGTGCCGTGAACAGACACCATGACCAAGACAACTTGTAGACATTTAATTGTGACTAGCTTGAGGGATCAGAGGTTCAGTCCATTATCATCAAGGTAAGAGCATGGCAGCATCCAGGCAGGCTTGGTGCAGGCAGAGCTAAGAGTTCTATATCTTCATCTGAAGGCTGCTAGGAGAAGACTAGCTTCCTGGCAGCTAGTATGAGGGTTTTAAAGCTCACACCCACAATGACACTCCAACAAGGCTACACCTCCTAATAGTGCCACTTCCTGGGCCAAGCATATACAAACCATCACATTGATCAAATTTAGTATTTTCACTCCCAAAAAACTATATACTATTGTAGTTAATCTTGGTTGCCATCTGGGAAAATGGAACCTCAATTAGAGTTGCCTCAATCAGATTACCCTGTGGGTCTATCTCTAGAGCATTTTCTTGATTGCTAATTGGGCCTGAGCTGTGTAAAGAAAGGTAGCTGGAAGGAGCTTGGGAGAAAAACCAGTAAGCCCCTTTTCTTTCTCTGGTTTCTGCTTCAATCTCTGCCTTGTCCCTAGATGATGAATTATAACCTTTAAGTAAACCCTTTCTTTTCTTTCTTAGTTGGGGTTACTATTGCTGTGATGACCATGACCAAAAGCAACTTGGGGAAATGTAAAAGTAACTTATTTTCTCAAATGAAGGGATGAGATGGGAGCTGTACCCAAGCTGTGCAAATACATGGCTTGGGCTGAGCCCAGAGCCGTTTCTCTGTTCTATTAATCTGTAAGGCTTAGGCTTAGAAGCTTCTAGCCTCCATACAATCTAATCTAGGCCTAGAATGTCTCAGCCTCTGAGGCATACTCACCAGATGTAATTGCCATCTTGGAGGCTTACTGATGAATAAACTCACCCTTTCCAGCTCTTTCTGAGCTCTGGCTGGCTGAACTCAGCTGTTCTAGCCTGAACTACTCTTCAAGCTGACTGATTCAAAGTGGCTTCTCTCAGCTTCTGACTGAATTGCTTTGCTTAGCCTCAAACTAACACTGGTAATCTGTTCTAATCTTCTGGCTCCTTTTCATTCTGTCTTCACTTGTAACTTGTCTCTGTAAAACAGTCTTGGTAAAACTGTGTTTTCACTCTCTGTGCTGTTCTCTTACATCCTCTCCTTCCTATCCATTCTCATTAGAGTTGAGCATATCCTAGCTCTGACTCGTTTTATCACATCTTTCTCTGATTCATCACTTTGTATGCCCCTCAATTAGAGGTCACTTTAAAAAATGGCAGTTTCCTTCACTGTTTGGGATTAAAGGTGTGTATTTTTTTTTTTAATTTATTTATTTATTATATGTAAGTACACTGTAGCTGTCTTTAGACACCCATATGAGGGCACCAGATCTCATTGTAGATGGTTGTGAGCCACCATGTGGTTGCTGGGATTTGAACTCATGACCTCTAGAAGAGCAGTCAGTGCTCTTAACCGCTGAGCCATCTCACCAGCCCCCTAAAGGTGTGTATTAAGGGTGTGTCTGTATTCTAGCCTAAGGGATTAAAGGTGTGTCATTCCAGCCAAATCCAAGTTGCTGGATTAAAATTTCTCTGTAACTTCCTCCTTTCTGGTTAAGCTGAAAATTGCACACAGTTTAACTTTTACAACAGAAACACTTACCAGTCACACAAACTTAAGTCTGAATGTTATGGAGATCTTTTGATGGGATGATCCTTCCTGACTGTAGTCCCGAGAGCATCCTTCAGCAAATGTTCATTCATTCACATCAAGATTTTCCAGTCTAATGAACTGATGGTCTGTCTGTTTTTTTTTTTTCTCCCAGCAAGTTTGTTGAGCTGCCCTCATGCAGGGCAAATCAGCTTTCTATGTTGTCTGTGTTGCTGTCTTTCTGCATTTTTAGACTGATAGGTCTGGTCTGAGACCAAGCTGGAAAGAAAACATGATTTTATTTTGTTTGGTTGAGACAGCTTTTCTATACAGTTCTAGCTGTCCTAGAACTTGCTCTGTAGAGCAGGTTGGCCCCCAACACAAGAGATCCACCTGTCTTTGCCTCCCAAGTTCTTGGATTAAAGGCGTGGGCTGCCCCCTTCCAGCTGAGGAAGCATGCTTTCAAGCTCCTTTCCTTGGCTTTCCTCAATGATAGATTGTAACCTGTAGCCCCTTTACCCCGCAAGTTGCTTTAATCTTGATGTTTTATTACAACAACAGAAAAGTAGTTTAAAAAATAAATAAACTAGAATAACTAAAAAGCAGAGTCTGGTGGTAAAACCTGAGGCAGGAGAACTGTATGTTGAAGGCCATCCTGGGTACCTAAGCATGACCTTAAGTTCGATCCTCTGAGCACCTGTGAGGGTGGATGGATGAATAGAACTTCATCCTAAAGCATTGTCATGTCACATGTGTCATGTCCCCGCCCCACTCACCCCTCCTCCCTACATCATACATAGACTAGTTCATACTTTAGGGGGTCAGTTAAAGTTGTCTCAGTTGGTAGAGTGCTTGTCTAGCATACATGAAACCTTGGGTTTGACTTCTATCACTTCAGATACCAGGCATGGTGGAAGCAAGAGGATTAGGAATTAAAAATTGACCTTCACTACATAGTAAATTTGAGGCTAGACTACTTGAGACTGAAGTATACATTGTGGTCTACAAATCAGATATGGATAGAGAAAACCAGATATGTTGAGGAAACCTAGAAGCCCCAGGAATGATATCTGCCAGATGATCAAAGAGGTCAAGGCAGGCATATGATCTCTTTCTTTCAGCTCTGGAAACGTGGGACTCATGACTAGATAAAAGGTAAAGGGCTAAGAGTGCAGTTTCAGGCACCCTGGCTGTGTGCCTCATGCTGATTTGTTGGGGTCTGATGGGGAGATGGAGCGCTGCCCAGGAATCACCATCCCACAAGGCATCATCAGCCCTGGCATCTTCACAGCACATTCTCCTTTCTGCAGTCACCCAACAGGAAAAGACGCCGCCACCTCGGCCTAACTTGCTGGAAGCAGGTGTCGAAGGCTGTGAGGAGTTCAAGCAGCAAGTGTCATGGGAGCAGGAGTTCCTGGTGGGGAACAGCCCAGGAGGCAGTGGACGGGCACTCTGCATGGTGTGTGGGGCTGAGATCCGGTTCCCATCAGCAGACACTGCTCGTGCACATATCCTGGAGCAGCATCCTCATACCCTGGACCTGAGCCCCTCTGAGAAGAGCAACATCTTGGAAGCCTGGAGTGAAGGGGTTGCTCTTCTGCAAGACATCCAAGCTGACCAGCCATCCCTGCCCAGCCTAGGTAGTAAGGGTGAGGGCTGAGGGAGAAGTGGGGCCTCTGGGGGCCCTTGAGCTCAGTGGGCTTTTGCCCCCTCAGAGTCAGGCCAGGATGGCCAGCCAGACCCCATCTCCAACCCGGATCCTGCCAGGATGCCAGCAGAGATCGTGGTCCTCTTGGACTCCGAGGACAACCCATCCCTCCCTAAGAGGCTCCGGCCCAGAGGACTCCGCCCTCTTGAGCTGCCTGGTCAGTCAACAGGGGAGCTTCAGCTTAGTGGGACACTCTGTGCTAAGGGGCTGGGGTGGGAGGGTGTTCTCTGGAACCTGAGGTTAAATGCTTGGGTACAGTGGCCTTAAAGTGCTAAAGTTTTTTCCTTTTTCAGTTGCCCCTGTCATAGAGCAAGGGAATAAAAGGCCCCGTGGTCAGAGATGGAAAGAGTCCCCTGAGGATGAGCCTGCTAGAAAGAAGAGAAGCAGGCATATGTCCAAAAACTTGGACCCTGACCCAGGTGAGGGGACTTAGGGGTGCTGAGCCTGGCTGTAACACTGGAGCATGGAGTCCATGAGGGGTGAGCGTCAGAGAGCATCTGCACGGGCTCAGCCAGAGCTTAGGGTTTTTGCCTTTGGGTTCTATCCTCTGCTACTCACACTTCTACGTGGCCTTCTTCCAGACCCCCCATCTCCTGAGTCACCCACAGAGACGTTCGCAGCACCAACTGAAGTCCGACATTTCACTGATGGCAGCTTCCCCCCTGGCTTCGTCCTCCAGCTCTTCTCCCACACGCAGCTCAGGACCACCGACAGTAAGGACTCTTCTAATGACAGCAAAGCTGCCGAGGGCCTGCCCCAGCCACAAAGTCCCTCTTCAGGTGAGCCCTCCTGGGAGGGGCTGGTGAGGAAAACCGAGTCCTTGAATCACAGCCAGAGCCCAGGATAGAGATGCTGGGCGTTTAAGCCTCCAAGAGAAGGCTAAGGTCAGGAGTTTGAATGCTGAAGAAGCTGTCCTGTAAGCTGAGCATCTCTGGTAGTGGTCATTAAGTTTTGATAGGCCTCCCAAAGCTTGGTGCTCAGCTTAGTCCATGAGACTGGTTCCAGCTGGAGCCCTGGAAGAACTTACCCTGGTGATAAGTTGGCCCAAGTGAGGTAGGTACTCAATCATTTAAACAGGTGTGGGGCCATGGGTGAGTGACGAACAGCAAAAGGATACTCCATAGTACAAGGAAAAGCTGGTGTTTGTGTTTATAACCTGCCTACTGACTGAGAAACTCTGGAATATAATTGATTTAATCCTTATAAAAATACCTTATAAACCAAGCATAATCTAACACTTTAAAGTCTGAGACAGGTTTGCCACAGGTTGGAAGTAGCCTAGGTTACAGAGTAAGAACCTATCTTGGTTTTTTTTGGGTTTGTTTGTTTGTTTGTTTGTTTCTCTGTAGTCCTGGCTGTCCTGGAACTCACTTTGTAGACCAGGCTGGCCTTGAACTCAGAAATCCACCTACCTCTGCCTCCCAAGTGCTGGGATTACAGGCATGCGCCACCACTGCCCAGCTGTGAGAACCTATCTTAAAAAACCAAAACCTAAAAAAGCTCTTTACATGAGCTGGACGTGGGGACCAGGGAGGTAGATGGCTCATCAGGTGAAGGTGCTTGCTTGATGACTTGGCTTCAGTCCCAAGAACTCACATGGTAGAAGGAGAAAACAGGCTGCCAGACATTGTCCTCTTTTGGCAGACACACTGCCACCTCCTTAGTCCCATTCTCTCCCTTTGCCATGCCTGTGGTGCCCTGTCATGAAGAAGCATTCACTTCTACGTGTACGCCATGGCCCACGTGCTTCCCCTCCCCCAAGTAAATTAACACAAACAAACACATTTTTGTTTATTAAATTTTTTTGGTATTTTGAGACAGGATCTCACTATGTAGCTTTGACTGTCCTGGAACTCACTATGTAAACCAGGCTGGCTTCTTCAGTCCACTTGAGACCTCCCTGCCTCTGCCTCCTGAGTGCTGGGATTAAAGGCATTTGCTACACTGTCCAGCTCTTTAATTAGTTATTTTATAGCCAGGTGGTGGTGGTGTATGCCTTTAATCCCAGAGGCAGAAGCAGGTGGATCTCCATGAGTTCAAGGCCAGCCTAGTCTAAAGAGCTAGTTCTACAACAGCCAAGGCTATACAAAGAAACCCTGTCTCAGAAAAATTTTTTTATTATATTTTAAATTAAGGGTATGAGGTTGTATGTGGGTAAGTGCATGAGCGTGCCAGCACCCGTGGAGGTACTGCAGGCTGGAGGTATAGGAGGCCTGGAGATGGAATTAGAGATGATTTTGAGCCACCAGGGTGCATATGAAGAATCAAACTCGTGTATGTTTTTAAACACAGAGCCATCTCTAAGACTCCAGGCTCTTTCTGCTAACCTATAGTCCTGTTACCACAGTGGGAGAGTCAAGACTGCCATGCCCTCCAGGGACAGAGACTGAGCCTGGTTCCTTCCCTTGTCTCTCATTGAATTCAGATTACAGCATCTCAGGATAAGGAACTTGTGAATGAAGGATTGGTTGCTGCCAGGGACTGCTTAGACCCTTGTCCCACAAAGTTAGAAATATATCATTAATATACTTTTGGAGCAGAGGTGAGTAAAACACCTATTAGGCAGCTACAGGCTTCTGGCATGGGGCTTGTAAAGAGGAAGTAAGCTTTTAGTATGGAGGCAAGCAAACGTGTCATTTCCCTTGCAGGTCCCCAGTAGTGCCCACTTGTACTAGTTTGGTCATATCCTTCCTCACTGGAAGTCTATAGAGGAGTACGCCATGTGCCTCTATTTGCCTGAATGGTCTTCACTCTTACAACAGGCCTCACTTGTATACTTGGGTCAGCTTTAGTGTTCTCGAGCTTCAGCTTGCCACATTCCAGTGTTAATTCCTGGGTGAGCGTATCCTCCTTGGAGTTGCATGCATGCTTCTGGGCCTTCTAGATCAACCTGGGGTCTTCTGCCTTCATCTGCCTGTATGAAGGACTCCTTTATCTTGAGTCTTGGGGTGTCCCAGTCCCAAACTACCTGTCTGGGGTGGTGAGTTGAAGCAAACTGGAAGGGTCAGGGCACCACAGGTGATGGCAAAGGGAGAGAATGGGACTGAGGAGGTGGCAGTATGTCCTGGTGCTGTCATGATACATGGAACCTTGTCAGGACAGAGCTGCTGCTACTGCTGATTTCTTGTTGGGAACCCAGAGGCTTGACAGCCCCAGGGTATACAGCTTCCATGTCAGTAAACTTTCTACCCCTGCAAAGAGGAAAGAGTAAAAATCCTAGATAGAGAAACAAGAGGTAAAGGAGTTTACAAAGTAAGAGAGAAAATTAACTGAAGATGATCTGTCCAGAAGGCCTTTCAGGGGAGAAGGGTTGAAGAGGGTTTTTACTCTGTTCGCCCAGTTTACTTAGTACACATGATGGCTGATTTTTCTTTGATCAGCTTCCCAAGTGCTTAGAATATAATTGTAAGCCACTGTATGATGCCTGGCTTTGCTTTTTTTGTTTTGTTTTTTTGTTTGTTTGTTTGTTTGTTTTTCGAGACAGGGTTTCTCTGTGTAGCCCTGGCTGTCCTGGAACTCACTCTGTAGACCAGGCTGGCCTTAAACTCTCAAACTCAGAAATCCGCCTGCCTCTGCCTCCCAAGTGCTGGGATTAAAGGCAAGCGCCACCACCGCCTGGCGAAACGGTCTTCTATAGCTCAGGCTGGCTTTAAACTATGTAACTAAGGCTGGCATTAAATTCCTGATCCTCTGGTCTCCACTTTCGAAGTACTTTGGAGGCTGATCACCAAGCTACAGGCAAGGTCTCTCCAAGCTGAACTGAGCAGGGAGTGCAGAGGGAAAGGAAATTTGCCTACACGTGCAAATGGGAGCCTCAAAAGGTCCTTTGGTTTCACTCACTTTTATGTCCTCAGCATCTAGAACAGTATGTTGGGTGGGTTTTTGTTTGTTTAAGATTTATTTATCTTGCTGGGCAGTGGTGGTGCACGCCTTTAATCCCAGCACTTGGGAGGCAGAGGTAGGTGGATTTCTGAGTTCGAGGCCAGCCTGGTCCACAGAGTGAGTTGAGGCCAGCCAGCCTGGTCTACAGAGTGAGTTCCAGGACAGCTAGGGCTATACAGAGAAACCCTGTCTCGAAAAAAAGAAAGAAAAAAAAAGTATTTATTTTATATATGCAATACACTGTCACTGTCTTCAGACACACCAGAAGAGGCCATTGGATCCCATTACAGATGGTTGTGAGCCACCTTGTGGTTTCTGGGTACTCAGGACCTCTGGAAGAGCAGTCATTGCTCTTAACTGCTGAGCCATGTCTCTAGTATGTTGTTTTTAACAAATTATTTGATTTTACCAATTCAGACTTGGAAGCCAGTTGCTGTGGTGAGCGCCTGCTAGATCAGAGAAAGTACATCCTAAAAGGAGAGCTCTCCATCTCCACATTGTTTCAGCCCCTCCCCCCAGTGAATGTCTCTCCTACTTCCTGTGCGTCTCTGTCCATCCTCCTGACTTCTTACTCAGTGTTTGTTTTTTTCTCCTATATTCACTCCCTGTCAACTGGTTGCTTGCTCTACCTCTTTCTTGACCTATGTTTTATTTTATTTAATCTTGTTTACGATAAACAGAAAGCTTTTGGATTAAAGGTAAGTGCTAAGGCTAAACCACATCACAGTTTTGTTTTTTTTTTTCTTTCTGTAAATAATACAGTCTCAGGGTTCAAAGCATGATCAAATATTCTGCAACATTTCTCCTTTTTTTTTTTTTTTTTTTTTTTTGGGTTTTCGAGACAAGGTTTCTCTTGTATAGCCCGGGCTGTCCTAGAACTCACTCTGTAGACCAGGCTGGCCTCGAACTCAGAAATCCACCTGACTCTGCCTCCCGAGTGCTGGGATTAAAGGTGTACGCCACCACCGCCCAGCGAGACTTAAGTATTTTGTATTCAAAAATTCTGTAAGGGCTGGAGAGATGGCTCAGTGGTTAAGAGCACTGACTGCTCTTCCAGAGGTCCTGAGTTCAAGTCCCAGCAACCACATGGTGGCTCACAACCATCTTTAATGGGCTCTGATGCCCTCTTCTGGTGTGTCTGAAGAGAGCAATGGTAAATACATAAAATAAATAAATAAATTATTTATTTAATCTTTTTTAAAAAAAAAAATTCTGTGAAAATGTTCATGTCAGTGTCCTATGAACTCAGCAATTTGAGTGTCCTGAGCAGTCTGTAATCCAAAGCTGATCTTTGGGTGATGTTTGTCAGCTTAATACCAATCCTGGCTAGGTAGAACACAACAGCCAACGCAAAGGTGTCCGTTGATTGCAAAACCTGGTGGCAGAAGAGGCATGGGGCAGTTTTGCCCTGTGGTTAGCGATACCACAATCCAGGTGGATTCATCTTTACAGGGTCCCATCATGTTCTCAGAGACTTCAAAGGTTACTGTTAGGAATGGTAGAAAATTTAAGCAGCTCTCTTTCAACAGATCTCAGAAAGGTTTGAGGGTCATAATCTATTAAGTACACAAAGTTTGTTTCTAGTTTCCTGTTTCAGACTCCAACACATACAGGAAGCCAGTTCAAACTTATTTCCAGTATTCTGTATAACTACTAGTATCACAACAGAGGTCATACATATATAATTTTACAGATTTTGAGATAATATTTATACCTTCACAAAAGTTTTAGAGTCAAACAAAAACCAGAAGGTTATGAAATTAGTGGCCTTTGTTTTTTGTTTGTCTCATACCAGGTGGTTCTTCCTTTAACAAGCATTCATGAGTTTAAGGGAGAGAGCCATGGTCCAATCCCACAGCCAGCCTTAAGTTTTAATTGAACTGCCATGACAGACAGA